GCGGTCATTGTATATGTATATATCTTGCTTCCATCTACGGGAGGAAGTACTTGGACGCACCAGCTCCTCTTCCTGCAGGAAATACACCGCATTATGGCGTAATATATGGTAACAAGCCGAGCAGAAAGGCCTCATTCTTCCTGCACCGGGGAGTAACTGTTGAATGCAATGTCGTAATTTTTTGTTTCGACGCGTTCGAGTACCGAGATGACCCCAAGTTGAACCTCCTGGTTAACTTCCCGAAAGGGATTAGTGGCCCCATCTCACGGGTCCACGAAATCAAAGATGGTGGAAGCCACAATCGGCGGGTCCCCCTGCTTTGCCCGGGCTATTTCCATGTTTACCTACTCCGTACACATAAGATAACTATATCACCTGCCGAATAACCAACAACAGGGCTGCATGGACTCTTTGCTGGTCACGGGTCGGGGCAGAAGATGCTACGGCGACCGGTCAATGTGGGAACCCGAGTGGAGCGAACTGACCAAGGGCAAGGGACGAGCGTGTCTACGGAGACCGGGCCACGCTGGTGGAATGAAGGGCAGCTGCTCGGTGGTTTCTGCTTGTCAGAGCTGCAGCGGAAAACCCGAGAGCCGACCGTAGAACGGGTCAGCTCACACGTTATGTAAAGTGATTCCGATGACCGGGTCGTTTCGTTGAGAAAACCGCCATGAATTGGATGGACGATATAAAATTATGAGAGTTGGGGATGCGGATGGAAGAAAATAACCGGTTTCTTCAATTTGGGATTTCGGGTGGATCCGCCCTGATCAAAAGTCAAGCATGTTTCTGCTCCGGACCGTCAACACCGGTTCTACTTCAGTGCAATGCTGCATGGAAGATACCCGGGCAAGAGCGCAGACGACTAGACCAGTCCCACCTGATCACTGCGATTACCGGTTATCTTTAAACAATTCGACCAATACCATCATGACTTAGGATGTTTATGATAAGTCTCAGAGCTAGGGAATCCTGAGTCCTGGTCGTTAACAAGATGGATCTTGGATGTCGAGGCTGGAAGGAAATACCCGGGCGTCTATTTTCATGATTCAGGTGGGTCCTGGTCAGACAACTCTCTGCTTGAGACTATCTACAGTTTAGTCTGTTTCTACTCTAGAACAACCTCTCTCGCCTTTTTTTTACCAGCAGCATGCGTCGCTGGGAAGGAAAGCCCAACCAAATGCAATGTGCAGTAAGTCAAAGGAAGGAAAGGAGAATATCGGTGTCTTTGAAAAACAGCAGTTGGATTAGCGAGGACAGCAAATTTAGTCGTTGCATTCCGTTAAGAGTATTTATCGTGTTGAGATATGTAAAGGAACCTTCGAGCTGAGCAGCCAAGTAAAAAGACAGAAGTCTACCACAGATCACGATCGTCAGAAACAACGCAAGAATGTACACCGTCGGAATCGGTGGAGAGATTCTCAGCAGAAATCTGTATGCCTTCCTCTGGTTCTAGGCCGACATCGTGGTATAGCGCCGTTGCAATGGCCACTAGAACGCTGTCTCTGGTCACTGTTGCCTCTAGCCAGCTCAACTGTCTTCGAAACACCCTTCGGGCCACCACAGTTAAAGTATCGCCTGGGATAAAACGTTCATAATAGGTAAAGTTTCGAATGCCTTCCTGATGCCTGAATGTGGAGAACAACCGATGGCAAATCAAGTCGACCAGCAGGTAATTTCCGGCGGCTCGACGGTCTTGAGGAACCACAGCGGCGGCTCGGACCGTGGATCCTACCGCGGGCTGAATCGCCAGTGATTTCAAAAATCGTTCCTCCAGCGTGGCGAATTCCTTCAGGTCCAGCTGCGGGATAGCCTCGGCGAGCGTAGAGAGCTCGGGAACGGTTGGCAGTCGGCAGCAGGGGCACTCCGACGTAGATGAGTCTGGATCGGACTCTGAACCTGAAGTCTTAGAGAGGATGCTGGGCTGGGATTCTTGGAGCGGAGTCGACAGCACGGATGGGGTTGCCGGACGTTCAACAGGATGGGACATGGTGTCGACTCAAGCAGGCAATTGGCGATCGAACCAGCCGTCGTTCTCCAAGACCACAAGGCAATATCTCGGCAGAAATATAGACGGAAGAATACCACTACCTTCAAGAGAGCGGCGGAATATAGCCTTGAATGGAATGCCCTAGTGGCTATCCCGATTAGAAAGATTTACAGAACAAACACATCATGACGATCCTCAGCCTAAGACAATATGTTTGGGGATAACTATTTGTTCTTATGCTGAGGACTGCAGAGACGGAAAGGGAACGGATACAGGAACTAAAATTTTCACATTACAAGGCCACCCTCACGATAACGAAACACATGGACAAAAGCATACTGATGGGGTAAAGGAATTTATAGCAAGAGAGCCCAAGCGCCTTATTGCCCAAAGAAGGAGAAAGGTATCACGACTCTCTTTGACATCTCGGCGAGATAATGGGAAAGAACAAGGCTTCCAGCGATGAGCGGTACCACATGCCACAAGCATACCTCCGCGACCGGGAACACAAGTCCTAAGTTTACCCGCCGGCGCGAGTTACATAGGCAAATTGGCAGGATGTCGGGGGTTCGACGCGTGGAAACTGGCTACTGCACCAAGCTCGGTAAAAGAGCACAGATGTTCTCGAACGTGGAACAGCGGGTTGCTATGCATTCCGTTATGTTCTTGGCTTCCCAGAATCGGCCTGTAGCCATAAATGGAAGGGGGTCTACCTTCATGCGAGCCATCTAGACTTGACCCTTCGAAAAATATGGGCAAGGGCGGTTTGCTTGAATATTGACGCCATTGGATAACATAGCGCCTCGTGTATGTCTTGGTTAAGCTGAGGCCATCCATACCATTCATCTATTGCAATGTATTCATATTGCATGAAATTATAGGATGGATTCATCAGTGCCATGGTTATGGCAAGTCCAATAATCCCATTGCGGCGGCAAAGGAGATGTTGGAAGCGTCTTCGGCGAGTACAGTTACCACAAGTAAAGATCCGGGCTGACAAGATATGATCATCGGCCAAATATTTCTGTTTCTGATGGCATGCAATGCAATATGTATGGACGAACATCCTTTTTAGTTCAGAAAAGAGTGCGTAACCTAGGATTAATGAAGAGGGAAGGGTCAACGAGTTCTTATACCTTGGCAGGTGGAGCAGATAGCGGTATCGGGACGTTATGGGCTCGGGCACCAAGATATCCCCTTTGCATTCGAATACCCTCGACCCTTGCTCTGGTGATGCAACTCCTACCAGAGGGTGTTAAACGGTCAATTAATCTCTATGACCCCGCGAATTTGGCGAGTCTTCGTTGCCCTGGTGAATTACCGGTCATCTGGGGCTGGCCGGGAAGGAGCTTTGACCAGCCGGGGAACTATGAGGCAGCTTGCAAGCGCTGAGAAGTCGGCCAAGATACTTGAGGCGGAAGAGATCATGGGCGAAGATGAATACATTCTTAGTGCGGTTGCCCGCCCATTGAAGCCGATTGAACTGGTCTCCATAGAACCATCTAGATCTGTCCATTGTATCATTTACCGTACGGGAGCCGGGGAGTGCTGGCATTTGCGGACGATGCTGGATTTACCCAGCCTAGATATAAATTTCAAACTACATGGCCGTAGCAGCCGTCCCCAATGCCAGGGAAACGTACAACAGAATCAAACAGGGCAAGAACAGTGATTAAGCAAAGCAAACGGGCCAGTCGGAAGAGTACATCTCTGAAAACATTAGTTGGAATAGAAACCGTCCAACATTCATCAACATCCAGCGAATAGTCGCAGTCGAAAATAAGAGCAGCATCCCTCTCTCCAAAATTTTTACGTGGAGACCCCTTGAGGCATGTGCGATCGGCAGTTGCGAATTGGGGACAGAACGGGTAGGCTGTATCGATGTAAGGCATGCCATCTTTTGGTGTCCAGCGATCCCCTGGTGATATGGCCTTGTTGATATTCCAAGGGAGGCGAATGCGAAATTGCATTCCCAAAAATCTTAGTCCAACGGGGCCTCAGCTCAATACGCCACTGCAATCAAAAAGGTCAAAGGCCTTCACCAGGATACTTTCTCCAACCAACGTGTAACGATCAAGCGTATTACGGTCAGGCTTATTGTGGTCATAGAGGCCCCGACACTGTCTGAGAGTGTCCAGATCAAGGATGTCCTCGAGAGCAACAAGCGCTGCTGCTCTAACAACTGGAACGTTTCGGTGGTTATTCCACTTCCTTTATAGCCTATTTATCCGTTTGAGGCGTTTCTGATGATCTGATTTAGATGTAGGCGGTATTCCCACAACCCATGTCTCTAGTCGAGGAAGTTTTCGGCCTCGGGAATGTTGATAGTAAGCCTCAGGGTTCCGAATCCGTTCCTTCAACAATAAGGTGTCCGGGCCAATCATGAGAATTTGACAGTCATCGCGGAAACAGGAGTGAAATATTTGCATTGTCGGGTCGACGTCTCTCAAAGGATGCAAATAATGTCTGCGGACCGATTCCGACGGCTTGATTTTGAGCGCTGAGTGTAGTGCTGCAACATTGGATGCCGACAGGTAGCCCATGATGAGCTTGGCGATCTCATGATAACCCTCGTGTGTGAACATCACCAGAAGCGAAGGATTTTCGATTTGTTGTACATTATCTCGGTACAGGGTCAGGTGGTCCATATAGACTGACGAGGGGAAGAAGCAGACACAGTCTGGAAACGTTCGGCCAGCTCAAAAGTTGGAGATATATGGGAAGGACATATGGAATCTTCCGGTCCGAGGAGAGGTACTGTACTCTGCAAGTCAAAATATATAACTTGCTCGACCTGGCCGCCAGCACTTTTGAATACGTGCACAGGGATCTAGTTACTCCTGCGAACGACCAGCCGGATCATAGGTTCTATCAGCCTCTTAGGGCTCCCCGCATGTCTCTCCAGATGTTCAGAGTGGCTCCTAGGAGCCTCAATCATGGTCCCGGGACCTAGCTGAGGCTGCTCTCCGGTACACAGCAAATCTACCTTTTATTGGAAGCCAAGTACATAACGAAAGACTTACCAAGCGCTGTTCCGCTTTCGAGAACCGCTGTGCTCTGTTACCGAGCTTGGTGCAGTAGCCGGTTTCCACGCGTCAAACCCCGACATCCCGCCAATTTGTCTATGTACCCCGCGCCGGCGGGTCAACATAGGACTTATGTTCCCGGTCCCGGAATTATACTTGTGGCATGTGGCACCGCTCATCGCTGGAAGCCTTATTCTTTTCCATCACCTCGCCGAGATGCCAAAGAGAATGTTGACTCCTTTCTCCTTCCCCTTCATTTCGAACGACGAAGCCCCAAATTCCTCTACCTCATCAGCATGCTTTTGCCCATGTGTTTCGTTATCGTGAGGGTGACCTTGTAATGTGAAATTTTCAGTTTCTGTATCCGTTCCCATTCCGCCTCTGCAGTCCTCAGCATAAGAACCGATAGATATCCCCAGATATACTGTCTTAGGCTGAGGATCGTCATGATGTGTTGGTGCAGTAAATTCTGACACTAAAGGATGTCCGAGAAAGATTGTGGAAGTCAGCAAAGATGGCAATTTTCAAAACATTAAACATATAAGTTGGATGCCTTCCCACTCCAGGTCGCTGAGCGCCGTGAAACACGACAGGCCCTCTAGATGTTGGCCCGCGTGGGGACAGGTGCTGTCAGTGATCAAAGAGAGACGATGGATCTGTTTCTGGTGGTGCACCAAGTATCCTTGAGCATCCAAGACGTTGGCGGGGATGTAGGTCCCGATATGCCATCTAGGCGGGTCAGTTGCGGTTCCTTCAGGCAATGTCTCAGTACATACTGAAATGAATGGAGGATTCCAGGTTCTAGGGAAAGACTTGGTGCATCTGAAACGACAGGCTCACTAGGAAAGGGAAATCATGGCTACCAGACGAGGCGTGGCAGGGCGGCCACTTGAGTCACAAGCCCGAACATAGTCTGGGTGTGGGCAGGGAAGTTGGAAGAAGCTCGAGGAAGGGTATGCCATGGTCCACAGAAGAGGCGGACCTTCTGGCAAAGCTAGAAAGGACGAGGGTCGACCTTGGTCCGAGGTGACGAGGGTATTCTCGAAGCAATATCCAGGGAGAAGCCAAGGCGCTATACAGGTCTACTGGTGTACGACTCTTAGTAAAAAGACGGATTAACACTTTTGGAAGCAAAAGTACTTAACTATCTTCTGCTCGTGCAAATGTAGCCTGGCTACTACTCCCTTCTGTGTAGAGCGACGCTTAATATTCTGCGAGATACTGGCGTCCAGTAACCTCGTAGTTGGATCGGTTGTCAATGAAATTCGACCTTGAGTGGTCACACATCGGTTTTGATGGTGACCGTTTTGGCCAGCAAACCTTGAGGTTCTGGTGAGCGGCTCACCCTACTCGCCCTCACCGCGCGATGAGAAAGCGGCCGCGCCAGCTAGCGCCGCGGGGGCGGCAACCCTCCTTCGATCCGCTTTCAAGCCCCACGCCGGTAGGTTCGTAGTATGGTGGGTGACCATATGCGAATCCATGCTGTTGTATGTCCGTTTTCACCCAGTTTTTTGCGCCCGGTCGGGACTGGTCAGGCTTAGCGCCCACGCCGCCCTACCTTCAGGCCTTCACCTGAACGGCCTGAAGCCCACTAAAATTCGCCCGCCAAGCCCGAGCTGCTGACGTGGCCTTTTCTCTCAAATTCAATCGGAAGTAGAGTCTCCCGGCTTCCGTGCTCTGCTTAACTAGCCACATACACTCGCCATATTCTGTGGCTCAGCCAGCTTTGAGGCCTCCACCTTCAAAAGCAGTATCAACCCGCATTAAACAGAACACGATTATGATAATGAGAGGATTTCGGCATGATATATTTTCTTCTGCCCCAACTGGACTCTAGTGCGATCACTATTTGAACGTATTAATACCGCCACGGACAAATTCTTGAGAGGGCCTGCTAGATGATTCTGTTTCCAGTCTGAATAAGAAGCTTGACAACCTCCTCATGTCTATATTCTGCAGCGTAGGATAGAGGTGTTCGACCAAACATAGTGCCCTTGCACTCCATGTCCACCTTTCCAGTCTCAATGAGAAGCGTGGTATGCGCCGCTGTTGTTCAGTTAATAGGGTATCTGGATGCATTTGACTATGCACAGGCAAATCTTGCCTGCGTGTCGCTTTAGAATCTATTCTGCTAGTATATGTTTGACTGTGCGAGTAGCGTCAACGGGGCTGAGCTGGTGGTGGACAATGGTTGCCAGAGTGTTTGACTCACTGCTCACTGTGGAACCTGATAAAACACACGAAGTGGGAAACAGTTCGAACCAACGATGAGTAAGAAATGTTGTCAGAGTAATCGACTTTCAGAGACGGCAGATAATCGAATTCGACCCGGTCAAGCTCAACCTGCGCGGCGGTCCAAAAGGCGACTTCTCGCAAACTTCTGAGGAGTCGTCTGCGTTCTTGACAGTTGGCGCCTGAGTTCTTCAATAATCAGATAAGGCCATGAGACTCAAGAAATCTATTATCTTGAGAGTCCATCCTCATCGCAGCTCGGGCTTGCAGCGGCTTCCTCGTCTCCCGCTTCGAAAAGGCGGGCTTGAGTATTGGATACCAAAAAAAAAAAAAATGACCCTGCACTGCTTGGGGTATAAGTCCCATGCTTACTAGTAACTGAAATGTGGCTCCTATCCGTCAAGCTGTTGTAGCGACTCCTCCACTCTGTCAACTTCCACTGGGCCTGCAATTCCAGACTTCTCTGCCCGGCGACACATCCGCTGGTATATCCGCATTTGCCGAACCAGGACCAGGAGACCACCGCATACCACGGCCGCCCCATCCCGCAGTTCCTGCCAAACCGCCTCCCGCTCTGCTTTCCACTCGCCAAACTGTGGGAAAACTTTCACGAACAGCCCCCGCAGCAGGGCGTTTAATGTAGGTTGGTGTTTAACCACGTAATGAGGATGAATTCCTTGCACCACGTGCATTGTATGGTCTCCAATTTCCGCCGCCTGCACACACTGCGATCTCGCCCCCGGCACGGAAGAGCAGAGCCGCTGGCCCAGCTCATTTCTGAAAACACTCTATTGCTCATTATCTGTCTTGGTGCTGTATTGACACGAGATGAGCAGCAGTGGTCGAATGTATTTGAGAAGAGTCTTGTTCAATCCGTTTTTCTACCTCCCGCTGAAGTCTGGTGATTTGCTCGCGAATCGTCTGCTTCAGCCTATTGTCTGTAGGCTCTGCGAAAGTATTACTTGATACAACGCTCGCCAATTGCCCAGGGCTCAAAAGCTTTTCTCGCAGCAGAGCCTCACAGGTCTTGAGCATCTCGATGAAGTTGGTGAGGTCTCGCTCACTAATATCTTCATTGCTGAAAATGTGACCAGCCCTGTCCTGTATCCCCAGAATTCTGAGGCTGGACCCGAGAAGTGGTAGTGTGTAGAAGGCCCCTCCAAATGTCAACGAATGCTCTGGTGTGAAGACAGCATGGGGACACCCAGGAGGCATAACACTAAGAAATATCAGCTTTCTTAATATCTGTGTATGGGATCCATGATCCTACAGCAGGTCGCCGGGGCGAAGGTCGATTTTGATAAATTCATCGTAGGCCTCCGGCGTGGAGCTTCCAAAGGTTGCCAGAATTTCTGATGACTCCCTATCAAATAAGCGAGGTAGGTACCAGGTCTTGCGCCCTGAGAGAACAATAATATAAGTCAAGCCTCCTGCGGTGTCCCCGTGTAGAGTGGAGATAGAGTTCTGGCTCGAGGCCAGGAGGAACTCACGGTCGGCAAAGTCCAGCATGGAACGCATTTTTTTGGCTTTTGAGGCCCTTGCCGAACTTCCGTGCCGCCGTCGCGATAAACGAAGGAAATCTGCATCATTGATGTGCGCTGGTACGCGGGAAATGAATAAGTTGCGAATATCCAGACAGTTCAGCGGGTCCCGAGTTCCAGGAGGCGCTGCGAAGTGCTCAATAAGCTCGTTAAGTGTCTTGGGATAGTTTGTCTTGGTCGCCGCATAGTTATAAACATCCAACTCTTTTATACCTATCAGGCGTAACTCCTGGAGAAGGTCTGGAATGGATGATGGGAGTCCATGGAGAGGGTGGTCCTGCGTATACTTTTTCCATAGAACGGCCTTCTTGAATGGTTGCTTTAGAAGTTGAGTAAACTCCTCATCGCAAGTAACTTTTGTAATGCTGGAATCATCCTCCTTACACATTCCATCAATGTTTTCGAGGAATTGTTGTTTTTCCAGGACTGTTTTATTCGGAGCAACGCTGATTTGAAGTTGTAATCCAGGGCACAAGGTATCTTCTGTCACCTCCAGTCTCCTTTGCACCGGATAGTCTACTCAAGTCAGAATCTGAAGACTGCTAACGGACGTCGGACAGCACATACTATTTTCTGGTGGTGGTGAGGGCCACCTAGGCCTTCTCTTCAGTTTCGAGTCTTCATGAAATTAGCATAGTTCAGACTTTGAGGCTTATAGCTCACCGCCTAAGATATTATCTTCACCCTTTTTTAAGGCTTTGAGAAGGATGCGATCTTGTGCCTCTAAGGTTTTGGGAATAGGGTACTTAGTAACCCAAATTCGAAGTTTATTGCAGCAATCGTCAAAACAAGGAAGAGACAGAAGCTGTGAGAAGTTGACGGCGGTGATAGTAAGAAACCAAACATAAATGCTTATTGTTTGTATCTTTTGTAGCCGCTTCGCAACTCGCCGCTGATCCTTGTTGGCTGGAGCACAGGCGTAGCGATAGAACATATGTATGAGGGGCAGAAGATCGCTAGACTCAAGATCAGGATTGTCCCCAAGCAGTGTTCGTTGTCGGCCTAGCCGTTCACAGAGTGAGCTGCATCGTGGGGGTACAGAGAGATTGATCGGGGCAAATGGGTGAATGGAGAAAGGGAGTCGAAAGGGAGTCGAAAGGGAGTCGAAAGGGAGTCGAAAGGGAGTCGAAAGGGAGTCGAAAGGGAGTCGAAAGGGAGTCGAAAGGGAGTCGAAAGGGAGTCGAAAGGGAGTCGAAAGGGAGTCGAAAGGGAGTCGAAAGGGAGTCGAAAGGGAGTCGAAAGGGAGTCGAAAGGGAGTCGAAAGGGAGTCGAAAGGGAGTCGAAAGGGAGTCGAAAGGGAGTCGAAAGGGAGTCGAAAGGGAGTCGAAAGGGAGTCGAAAGGGAGTCGAAAGGGAGTCGAAAGGGAGTCGAAAGGGAGTCGAAAGGGAGTCGAAAGGGAGTCGAAAGGGAGTCGAAAGGGAGTCGAAAGGGAGTCGAAAGGGAGTCGAAAGGGAGTCGAAAGGGAGTCGAAAGGGAGTCGAAAGGGAGTCGAAAGGGAGTCGAAAGGGAGTCGAAAGGGAGTCGAAAGGGAGTCGAAAGGGAGTCGAAAGGGAGTCGAAAGGGAGTCGAAAGGGAGTCGAAAGGGAGTCGAAAGGGAGTCGAAAGGGAGTCGAAAGGGAGTCGAAAGGGAGTCGAAAGGGAGTCGAACTAGGCAGCAATATCTACGGAGTACTGGGTTCCACGCGGGAGCTAAGGCCTGGCCCGGGCCCCCTTGGCACACGGGCTGGTCGGGAGAGTGACCCGTGACCCATCAAATGGGCAAGAGGAACTGTCGTCATTGGTCCTCAGGCATTCAGCAGCCGTAGCGAGAGATCACGTGGCCAACCACCACAAAGATGTCTCCGCTCGGTCTTCCCTCTAGATAGCGAATACCAAGCACTTTTCCATGCAGTCAGGAACGGAAGCGTTATTTTAGAGAAGACTAAACGCATGATATTTCAAAGCCAATAGAAAAACCACGTTCGTCTTGCGTGTCGAGGCGTAGTGTCCAGCTTCCAGCATGGCGTAACGGCCGATGATGGAAAATATGGTAATGGTCGGAGCTACTTCTTAATGTCCTCTGATCCCATTGGACAGACAAACCACCAGAAGAGACAGACAGGGAAATCTTTCGAGATTTACCACGGACCCTCACAATAACAGGTAGTGGAAAATTCTCAAAGCTACAGATCCGCCGTGGTGGCGGGACTAGGACGTCGACTTTTCCATTAGAAAGCTCTTGACTGATTGTCCAGTGCGCTCCTTGATACCTTATATCTCGGGCCAGACGAACGCTCATTGAAAGAGACAGCTTCTAACTTAATGATTTTTCATGTTAAAGAGTCTCTGCATAACCATGTGGCACGATGGACAACTACTGCAGTACCTGTAGCCGTAGAATTCATCGCGTCGAATATCTATGTTTCCAAGGGTACGACCCAGTATAGCGCTAAGAACGTATCGCCGGGAGACACCAAGATTTTCAAGCAAAAGTATATCATAGCAGCATCCTCTGCGGGACTAAAAAGGTTCTTGTCCGTTATGCGTGAAGTTCCATAGGGCGGATGAAGCAAGCATGGGCCCGACCGCCCTGTGGCCGGGTTTTGCGGTATCCTAGAATGAACGCCTGCTCCTAATGGCCACTGTCGTTTTGGGAGAAGAGGTCGAAATGGCGATGATTGAGGGATGCAGGATAAGGAACTCGTTGCAAGATGTCGCTGGTTGTTGTTGCCATGTGAGTTTGCGGTATGAGGCTCCGGCTCGAGAGGGCTGCTTGAAGCTGTAGGCTCGGCGTCCGTGTTATTCAAAAGTCGTGAAATATCCATCATTATAACACGATGTTTTGCTGAACAAGAGAGGTGTTGTCGATTCCGCCAGGGACGTCGAGCGGGCTAGTCACAGGCTCGCGAACTCAAGGACCTGGACCTGGACCTTGCTGGCTGAGCGCTCCGTGCCGTCCGTCCTCCTAAAAGCAAGAAATAGTTTAGATAAGGGATCCCAGCTCTGTAAAGGAAAAATCAAGTCAATCATGGAGGACATTTGCGCGAATGTGGACAGTCTGGCGTCTCTTGTACGGTCCGAGAATAAAGCCGAGCCTTGTGCTACTTGGGGAAAGGGCCCCGAGGCCCAAGCGCATCCCGTGCAATTGGTCTGGGCAACACTCATCACCACTGACTGAATGGACAATTTTTGGATTCTACTCCTTACCCGCACAGTCCAGTTTCAGCCACGCAGACCCTCTTTGAACGAAGTTGCTCGTCTGAAACATCTGTCTCGACTTGGAGGCCCTGATCTCCGTAATACCCAGGACATCGAGCTCGGCGACCGCTGAATCTGGATGCTATTGCGGGCAGGTCGGAGGGCAGAAGTGGGCTGGACGAAGGCGCCTTTGAAGATTTTGTGCAAAAGTACTATGAAGCCCGGAGTGAGAAGACCATGATGAGCACTGCTTTTCCGATCGTCCGAGGCTGCTGCGGTATGGCACCTGGCTGGACCTGACGGATTGGGGGGTACACTCAATATCTCGGGCAGCTACGTTATGCTAGGAGATATGGCCAAGTTACTGGAAGAGATAATTAGTGTAATCTAGCCGCAGTTGACCATCTCACACCGTTTATCCGGCTTCGAGCTACTATTAGACCTACTGCATGAATTTGACTCAAAGTATTTTGTGAGTTCCTGGTACTGAGGGTAAAGTCGAGAACACAGTGATCGGATATCAGCGGCTATATCTGCTATTCCCATCAGCGTTAATGGTGGACACCTACCCAGGCATACTTGAGGCGCGTAGGCCCGTTCCCCGAACAACGGAAACACGTGCCAAAGCTAGGGCGAGGGAAAACCACCATCAATGCAGGATGCGGCAATCCGCTACTGTTCCACGAAGTTGTTTGACCCTCACCACTGAGGTGGATCAGTGGTGGGTATCTCGCGATCGCTCGAAGATCGCCGGAATGGATCTAGGCTAAGCTGTTTGCTGTGTTTGCAGTTTTCAGCACATGAATCAACGTGCGAAGGCCACTTTTGGTCAGTCGGATCCGACCGGGTTAGATCACGAGACTCGCAAACGCGTGGCGGGCAGCCCAAACACGTCCTCTCGTGAATCGTCTACGTTCTTGACAGTTGGAGCAATAAGTATGGGAATCCCAATGGATCTGATACAGGCCTTGGCCATACGGCGTAGTTTAACTAGACACTAAAACAGAAACCCTTGCTCTAGTAGTAACCACTAAGGAATTGAAGCGCCTCATGCTGCAGTTGATCCATGCTTATATATCCACCCCGCCAACAATTCTCAATTAACTTGCCGCAGAGAATATTATCAAGGACTGGGAACGAAGCAGGCCAACGAAGCTCAGGGTTCTCGTCAAAGAAATAGTACTTGTGAACCTGCCATGAAATAATGGAGTAGAGTATCCACCCAAGGTGTAGTATCTCGATCCGAGCATTTAAATCCCCTTCGGTTGCAGAAGTAATATCAGCATCAGGTGGTAGTAAGATAGACTGGCCAAAATCTGCAACCTTGAGCTGGTTGTCCATAATTAAGATATTCCGAAGAGCGATATCATCCACAAATATCCTGCAATTGTGAATATGTGAGAAAGTCTTGATAAGACTCAGTATCCATTTGACCTTTAAAGCGATCTCGGGTTCTGGATGGGTTTTCATATAGGATTCAAGATCATCCTGCGCACGGGCTAGCTCAATCCCATACTGAGATATCTGAAAGCAAGGGATAATTCCTTCACATTTACCAAGGCGCTTGAAGACTTGACTCTCATTCTCCAGAGTTTGCTGGTTGATCGTGTTCATGTATTCTGCATTGCCAGCGTCTGAAAGTTGAGATTGCCTAGCTTTCTTAACGACACGATCTTCCCCTAACTCATAAATAATCCCAGTCATGCCCATCCCTAATACTGGGAGGTTGACATAAGGATCATGAGGAAAGGGAAAGTGCTGAATGCTAGAACGGCTAGCAGGGTTCTTGGCTTTGACTGGTTGAGGTGACGATCGAGTGATATGAGAAGACTGATTAACGTCAGGGTCTGTGTCGATTTGGTCGGGTACGGCGTTGATGGAGTCCTGTCGTGGCTGTGGGAAAGGCCGGAGACCACCTTTAGCAGGGACCAACTAGAGTGATGTTGATTCAAGCTTACCGTTGAGTCGCATCCGTCCTTGATGGTGAGAATCCGGACCACATTGCTGAGCCAATAGCGGATGTTAAGAAGCACCATCGCTGAAAAGACTGATATGCAAAGGCTAAGAAGTAGAATAAGTTGTTGGGGAATGGAAGCCCAGCACACGTTTGATGTGGCTAAAATTGCCAAGAATTTATTAAGCCACAATTAGTAACTCCTACCGAGGCACAGGCATTGATCGGGTAAATACTGTTCCGGCTTACAGAAGGGTCTGGCATTGCTCTTAATTGGACAAAGATTTTTATTTTACGTTCTACCAAGCACCTCAAATAGAACGAACGTTTTGCGTCGAAGAAGGATTTTGTTGCAAGAAGTGTTTTGGGCTCCACCTCTTACACAAAGTTCAAATTAGGTACATAGACCCTCCAAAATGATCATCAATCCCATATCAATCCCACATATAATTTCATTAACAAAACGGCTGCAATGAATACCATTCCCACTCGCTACTTATCTCGACAGTTCGGACATACGACTTGGCGATTTGTGCTTGACGCCTTGGAGGAGGCCGTAGGAGGGTCAGGACACCATGATGGGGGTGTGCGTTTGAGGGCGTCGGGACACATCCGGGGAGTTGGCTCCGCGGGGTCATAGATAGTATGGCCGCACTTAGAGAATTTGATAGGGGCGGGGGGTTCGATGAAACACATCAAGACAGAATCTTAAGATTTTGGGAGGATGATTGAAGTTGAGCTTTGGTAGAACTTCGAGATCTCGAGTTTTATATATTCTGAGCCACAAAGATCAAGAGATATAACCCAGAAGATAATAGGAACGTTGAACTTGGAGATAACACCTCAAAAGAGATCTGACTGCAGTCTTTTAAGAGTCACATGGCGGCGCCCTTGAACGGATTACGCGTGTTCTGACCACTGATGCGAACTTGCTTTCCCAGGTTGGGCGCAAACATTGCCTCACCAGGGAGACTGGGCCAACCAGAGACAAGATAACAAGATGGGACAACAAGAGCGTGTTCACACTGCCCGTCAGGTGGGTGCGGAGAATTCCGCTGATTTAATGGTGGGGTGATACAGTCTCCCTCTTTTCTCGGAACTGGAGAAGTGACGTTGCGAATCAGGTCTGAAACTGACATGCGGCCATATGGGCCTTGACGCTCTTGACAACTTATAGGCTATACTGCTCGCGTTGTATACAAACTCTCTCTGATAATAATGTTCGAATGTAAATGATGGACCTATGAGATCTCGTTTATGATATTCCCTTCGTCTTGGATGGATCTTGATTATCTGACGCCACTGCTAAACATGCCCCGCTTCGAACAAATTCGAGAAGTTAGAGCTGGTTTTAGATTCTCGATTGAGTTGCTACAGGATTAATGACGTACAGCATCGTTTTCTTGTTAGATTATCTTCGCTGCGTATTTTACGTCCAGATAGTAAGTACTTGAATATGCAGAGCGCAGAGTCGTTACGACGAGAATGCCAGCGAAATGACCCGACGGTTGTCATGTGATGCCCCTTGCGATTTATGCCCCACTGCAAAATTTGGCCCAACTGATGACGGCGCCCCGCGCGAACCCGGGAATCTCCCAAGTCAAGATTCGTTCTGGCGCAACTATTGAAGGTGAACTCTCTCTTAGCATCCGAATCGAGATTTGATATTTACCAGTGCTAACATCGAAGCAGCGCCGCAGGAGCACTACCGAATTCAAGCGCTCGGGTTGCCCGAAATTGACGTGACATGGCCGAAAAAGTCGGAGACAAGGCGATGCGAGGGGAGCTCGAAGACATTGTGGCTCACAAGTTTGACATCAAGGATAACATGATGATGACTTTTGAGGGTGCTTCGTGCAATATTCTAGACAAGAACGAGCAGCAACAAGCCAACTTCGGGAAGAAGGACGGTATGGTAACGCGAGAGGTTCGACCTGGCGACGAGTGCTTCGTGATATATGCGCGTATCAAGTTTGAAAAGCTAGCATAGTTTCAGGCAGCTGAGGTTGTCCAAAACAAAGCTGGTCGGCAATCGCAAAGGTGTGCCTATATCCGAGTCTTACGATGAGAAATCCGTCATTATATGTGTTCGGCAACAACAATCCAACGCAATTTGTGGCCGCGATACTCCCTATGTTCATTTCGTCGACCCATCTCTTGCTTGTTATCACCCCGTCTATGAAGGGCTTCGGGAAAAGATCAATAACGCGGTGTCGAGGAACGGAAGGCACTTCGATATAATCGCTAGGATTAGCTGCACTTCCGTCAGCCAGGAAGCGGAAGTCTGGGGCGGCTGTTATACTTGGGAGGAGAGGAATATTTGGAAGAACATCATGTTCTATGCGCTTGCGCTTCTTTCGTGGCCTTTCGTGGATAGAATTGGGTTGCACATCTGAATCAAGTTAGCTAGTCTCTTGCAATGTTGCCATCATTATCACCTTGAAGAACGCGCGCATAGCCCGCATTTCCGGGTGAACCGTCCTTCAATTTTGCCAATATTTCCAGAACGGCACCTGGGTATCTCGGGGGCTCGCTGGGCTCAATATCCTCGATGAGATAGTTAAACACACCCGAACTCATCTTCCCTCCAGCCCACTTTGTCGAAGGATATGAGGCTGCCCATAGTAATATCCCGTCCGTGCTCAGACTTTGAAGAATTGCACATCTCTCCTTCGTGATTTCCTTGTTGGCCGCTACATCTCGTCGATCCTGCGAAGAGGCTCTGGGTCCTTCAAAAATGAGAATGATGTTGTTTCGGAAAACGGTAGGCCTGAGTAGATTTCCATCTACCAAACCGTCCCTGTACTGCTTCGTTTCCTTTTTAGTAATTGCACCTTGTTCCTTTGTTTCCTCCGTTTTCGACTGTCTGACAGTTTCGATGTCTCGCTGAAGTTGCGATGCAGCATCAGTCAGCTTCGAGGCGAGATCTCTGATGTTCGACCATTGGTTAGGCGTTGGCGCCAAGCTGCTGAGTATTGCGACCGACCCATCTAGTCTTGAAATTAGTCCGGTGAGGTGCGAGATAAACTTAGCCATCGCTTTGGTTGAAAAACCAGGGCCAACACGAAAGTTCTGGAGACTGGGGGCGACCAAAAAAAAAATTCGGATAGCCCGGGCGACAAAAAAGGTTCTAGAGATCCTGGACGCGACAAAAGAATTCTGGAGACCCTGGGCGACACAAAGTTCTAGAGATCCTGGACGCGACAAAAGAATTCTGGAGACCCTGGGCGACACAGAAGATAAAGGATACATCTTTGGAGTCCACCATACCGTTTCTATCCAGGGTTAACTCGGCGCTCCGCTTGGAAACAGTGATTGGCTTAGCTAATGTCGAGGCCGGGAGAGTGTAAAGTCAAAGCAACCAATAGTTTCCATTCTCGGTACCATACCCTAAAACCAAACTTGAGATGTTGGCACGAATAGTCTGACTAGCGGCCCCGACACCCGATTGTCAATGCGATCCGTGATAGCCGCTGATCTCGAGACGTCAAGGGTCGAATATGTTTTGGACCTTCCTGTATTCTATCATCCGTCGATTCCGACGGAAACGACACCAGCCAATTGGTGAAATAGTGAGGAGCACATAGAGAGAATATTCCAAACATAAATATGCCAGCCTCGTCTCGTAGGCTCACCGCAATTTGACACAACACTCCAGCCAATTGTCATGCCTTGGTTTAGTGCTCCCCAATGCTTGGGCAGGCGGGCTAACAAGCGTTCTCATGAAAATGCTTTTGCCTCAAGGCCGCTACACCCGCCGCCTGCAACGTCTGTCAAATCGACAGTGTTATCCAGACTATGGACCCTGTTTTTCCCGACAAAGGATCCAGATATTACTTCCCTTGTGAGTAATAATACTCATGATAACCTGGTGAAGAGCACTAATAGCTTTAGTCTCCTCGCGAAGAGGAGCTGACGACTAGCCAGCATACTCTTGTCCAGGAAAGCAACGTGAAGCCCGAAATCACTATAACACAACTACAGCGTGACCTACCCTTCACACCCCCAAGTCCACTGCCTAGCCAGCGTACTCTCACTCAGAAAAGCGACGTGAAGCCTTCCACAACACACTTGGCATATGAGCCACACCCGGGCAAACTATGGCATGACCTACCCTTCACACCCCCAAGTCCACCGCCCAGCCAGCGGATTTTTGCTCAGGAAAGCAACGCGAAGCCTTCCTCCGAAATAACCACCAAACACCTGCCACACCCAGCCAAAGGCTTGAATTCACGAACGCGCAACTCTCCTGACTTGCCTCAATTTGGAAATGCTATTGAAAGTCAACCCTGGGTTACATACAACACAGAGTCAGGTGACATTGAAGTGGAACATGACGGTTCTGTTCACAAGATACCCTTTCAACTTTGCGTGATTACGCACACTGGGTGCCTACCGCAGTATGAGACCGACAATATCAAGGTCCGTCTTCTCACCCCGGGTTTTGTTGTCGCAAAGTGTACAGCGCGGGTTCCGTATGTGGTTGCTCAATCGCGATTGCCTGGACTACCCAAACTGCCCCAATGGACCGAAGCGTCGGAACGAGACTCGAATTTGTACTGGTTCAACCGTTATGTCTGATACTGTATTTCTGTACTTCTTTTGCTTGGAGTTCAAGCTCTGCCCAAATTACGTATCGTAAGTTTCACGGAAACCTGAGTGCAAAACAAAAAACGGATAGATAAGCATAAAAAGGACCAAGCCAAAAAGAGTAAGAAAAAGAGGGCGTCAGGATAGTGCGTGGGCTCATAGTGTCTTGCTTCCTTAGCTTGGAGGATGTTCCATGCATTGCAGGGCTATGCACCGCAGCGAGTCGCATGGGCCAGGGGCTGCAGTAGCCGTGTCGCTCAAGTTGCTGGCCATCGCTGCCATCCAAGAGATCCACAATTTGCGTCTGGTGCGATGAAAACCTTCCAAGCGGGTGCTAGCGCTTTGCCTAGGCTAATTTGAAAAGAACCACCCTTTTTTTCTGATGTCCAAAATTTCCTGCATGTTAGAGGACTGGGGTCTCGATCCAACTCAAGTGGGGAAGTTAGGGAGATAATAGCTCAGCTCTCTGGACTTTCACGGCACTTGCCGAAGAAATCAACATAGGAAAATTCCCAAATGGGCTTTTTTTTTTTTTTTTCTTTTTCCCTTCCCTCTCCCAGAGACCAGGCCTAGGAAAGGCTATGCGCATAGCTGGGAGCTGGTTGAACTAGACTTAGGAGTGATCAGATTAGTCTTTTCCCCGTGAGATACTCTAAAGCATAAAAGGGTTATGGCCCTTCAAGCCGAAGCTTCAGCCTTTTCCAGTATCAACCATCCATACCGAACAACCACCGCGCAGCGAAGGTATCTCCCTAGATTTTCTTCCACCCCAACGTACCACGAGCAGAGCTGATAATCGGCGATAGGTCATAATGTCTCAGCCTTGGATTCCCGTCCAATCTAACGACTCGGGCTCGGCAGAAAAATCGGAGAAGCGAAAGGCAAACGCTGAAGCGTCTCGGAGATTCCGCGGACGGAAGAAGGAGATGGAGATACTCCAGCAGCAGGTGAAGAGGCTAAAGAGCCAACTAGCGCACACGCAAGAAGAGCTTGAAAGGGAAGCTAAGAACAGCGGGTTCTTGAGGAGTGAGCGAGACTACTACCGGGACGAGCGAGACGATTATCGAAGCCAGCCTCCCCATTCCGCTCAATTCGACAGACCACGTTCTCCAAGACACAGTATCAACCGCAGTGATCAGAGGCCATGTGTTCGATGTGTTGCGGACGGCGTCCCATGCGTCCCTAGGGAAAAAAGTCACGGTTAGTACAGCTTGGTTGATATGAGCCTGGTAACTGACAGAATCCAGAAACACAAACTACAGAGGATTCCTTTTCAACCATATCGGATGCAGCAACTTCAGCTGTTCACCGGAGCTTATTGCCTTCTATCAACGAATCCCAGTCCGAATCGACCGAGAGCCGTTCCTCTGTTTTTTGCCCGTGCCCGGCAAGCTCTCGACTTCCATCTCCAGAGAATGACAGACTTGACCAAATGATGCCTCCGAAAGCCCTGCATGCCTGCCTCGAGAATATCTCTGATACCAGACAACTTTCGGTGTTGAATTCCTGTTGGAACACATATAATCGCACAGCGTCAATTTTTTATTTACAGACATCGTATATTAAGGCATTCATTGAGGTACAGGCTCCCTTCAATCCCATGGCTCGAAAGTAGTTAACCAGGACGCCAGGTGGCTAGATGTGGGTCTGTGGAAAATATCAAGAAAGGTGTGATTCCGTTACTTACGACATTTAAAGACTTGCGCAGTTTCAGTCATGAACATCGCGATATAATTTACGAGCTTGTTCAGCTTAAATATGCTATAGTATGCTACTCCTGTTGATCTTGATGCTTATTAGCTAACTCCAAGTAGCTCTCCCAGAGTCTGCTGGGAGAATTTCACGTCCCAAGTGATCTATTAGAGCGTACTAAGATAGGGCAGGAACCTGAAGGTTGCTGTGACCGTCTTACATATATCATCGGGGAACTAGCTTGCCTTAAGGCGGATATACATGAAGTCAAGCTACATCCAGATGAAATACGGGCAAAAGCAGACTCGATCCAACAGAAGCTCTTGATCTGGCATAAGGACCCATCAGGAAGGCTTTTATCGGAGTCTGCCCCTACCCGCCACGGCCTGTTGGTATGCCTTGCAATGAACCAATACCGGTGTGCGCGGATCGCCGTGGATCTGATTCTCTCCAAATTGCCGGAAACAATGCAGAGGGACAATGATATCCAAACAATCACCTCTAATCTTAGGCATAGTGTGACATGGCTCTTTCGCCCGCGGGGGAGTGTTTTCGACCGAATGTCCAGTCTAGTCTTGACTATCCCCTGGTTTATGTTCGTGTTAGCTGCCTCGGCTGCTTCATCAAGCGAGACCCAGGGATGGGTGAAAGATATTCTTTGCATGATTAGGGAGAAGACGAGTATTGGGCAAAGTTCGGTGGTACTAAACTTACTCGATAGTGATAACCATACGCTGCTCCGCCCTCGTATTTTTCAACTTCCCACGGAACAATCGTACCTCGTTCAAAGAATAGAGACCGAGACCTCTACTACACAACCTATGGAGAATACCGGGGGGGAGGCTGCATCCCAAGACAACCCCAAGAAGCGGAAAGCGTGGCCACCGCAAGACGTTACGTTGCTCAAGGAATTGCGTACAGCTGGGAAGACCTGGGATGAAATCAGTGCAAAATTTGGTGGGAAGCGGACCGCTGCGGCTTGTCGATTATACTATCAACGCCGCCGCGGCTTATTCGGAAAGCCTCCGTGGAAACCGGCAGAAGATACATTGCTATATGAATCGGTCACACAAGGGAAGTCCTGGGATCGCGTTAGTGAAGCATTTGGTGGGAAGCGGACCCGTGCTGGCTGTCAACGACGCTGGTCGCGCTTGCAACAACTCAGCAAGTTAGACAAGGATGGCTTCCCCGAAATGCCGCTGGGAGGCAGCCTCTAGGCACCAAGAGATTCACGGGCCAAGTTCCCTCGCTCCAAACTTTACTGCTATCGATCGTCCGACATATGGGATTCGAGACGAAGCGCCGCCACTTCTCTGAGCGCTGGTGGGGTTGATTCAATCTTTCCAGGTTATTCAAGTGGAATCCGCGAGTAGGAGCTATCTCTCTCAACTCACTTTCCCAGCCATATGCAGGTTGCTTGGTGGAATACACTGGAAATCTCATGGGCTTTTACATTAGAAGTTCTATATACTTTCCTTAGTATTTAAAGCGAAGACTTCTGACAAAATATAATAATTGGTTTGATAAGCACCTTATTAGCTGCTGCTCTTCAAGTCCTCCATAGTGTATGAGAGAATCCAAGGTTCCAGGGGATCCGATTCAGGGTCTAAGGGAAGATATTAACGGAGTCTTTTTAAGTAATCATAGAGTAGTAAGAGGTTCCCGAAACCTGAACATGCACCGGAGAGCCGTATGACCAATTGCGCACCCTGGAGCTTTGAATGCGTGGCAACTAGTTGTACTCACCACAACTCATAAGGCTTGGCAGCAACTCATGGGANCTCCGTCTTCTGAGGATGGCAGAGGGAATTTCGACCATGATGATCTGGCCAGCGTTCAGCCTCAGATTAAACCATTTCAGCTGCCAGGTGTGGTCGAGCCGCTGCCCAATCTTACCTGCTCACTGCGGGGAAGACGCACTGTGGATGGGTGAGCCGCCACACATCGATGATCCAAAGTTAGCCAGGGCAGCGGCTAGAGCGTGGCAATCAACGATGCCAGAGCTAATGCGTCTGGAGCGATTGGTGTGCAGGACGTTGTCTGTCAAACGCCATGCTCCCATGAAGAAGCCTCCGAGTTGGATGGCCACGGTTTCACGGGCTAGCGTTTCGCCAAACGCTTACTAATTCCACGGCGGGCCAGTCATGCGGACTCAAAGATCCACAGAATTTTTAAAGAGCCGCTCAGCGGGTCCATCAACCCCTCCCGTGGAGTTTGTCCGCGAACTAAACATGACGGACAGTCCGGTTCATGCCGGTACAACTGTGGATCACACGGGTGGATGTGTCTGGACGCTTGCGATCGCTCGAATTGATTGAATGAGCTGTTTGTTGTGTTTGCAGTAACAGTCACGTGATGATCGTTCTCAAGAAAGCCACTTTTGGCTAGTCGGATCGATCAGGTCAGATCAACACGTCCTGCGCGGCGGCCCAATGGCCACTACCCTTCTGTCCTATGTGGTCTTCCTCTCAGGGGACCCGAAGTGCCTCGCACCACACCTGAGTTGGGAGGGAGTTATCTGATTGCCCTCTAGAGCCCGATCTGGCTTAGTTTCCTGACATCTCCGTATCTTTGGTCCAGACACGGAGACTGTTCGCGCGCCAAGACCAAGCTTCTTTGTTGGACTGGACAAAGAACTAGACCGTGGAAACGAACAGCATAAAGAGGGGGAGAGAATCTTCTATTTCCAGCCGACACCTTGAACATCATACCACGTTTGTGCTCAAGTCCTCTATTCCAAGAACATGGAAACAAAACTCACCTCCGAAGCGTTGTCGCCATCCCTTCCCCGATCAGACTCGACCACGGCGGAGCCCTCTGCTCACGCTGAGCCGTTCGAAACGCTGACACCTGCTCATCTAGAACAAGATCCTACTGATGTCGACTCTGCGTACGCCGAGAGTCCCGAAGATGCGACCGAAAGCTTGTCGCTGTCAATGCTTGATTATAGGTTTGAGCATGGGCGACGCTACCATGCTTGGCATGATGTCGCATACTGGGTTTGCAGGATTCCTCCTAACAGACCCCGACAACCTGAGTCTTATCCTTATCACTACTTCTTAGGGTCCAAACGATGAGCAAGCTCAGAAACTACAAGAAATATCGCACCACATGTATTATATAACTTTTGACGAGCGTCTGTTTCTGGCACCGGTAATTAACCCACAGGTATCTACACTCTTATCATCCTGCTTATGATCCGAGAATTTAAATAACAGCAAATCTTTTGTTAGGCGATCCTCGATGTAGGAACTGGTACGGGGATCTGGGCGATGTATGTGACCATTGCCGTGCAGCTTGTGAGGCTAATATATTATAGAGATGTCGCCGATGCGTTCCCAGCCGCTAGAGTTACTGGGTTGGATCTTTCGCCCATTCAACCCACATTTGTCCCTCCGACCTGCTCGTTCGAAATAGATGACGTAACCATGCCATGGACGTATGATGCGGAACAATTTGACTTGATCTACGTCCGCGAGATGTTCGGCTCGATACCTGATTGGGATGCGTTTCTCCGNCTACACAACCTATGGAGAATACCGGGGGGGAGGCTGCATCCCAAGACAACCCCAAGAAGCGGAAAGCGTGGCCACCGCAAGACGTTACGTTGCTCAAGGAATTGCGTACAGCTGGGAAGACCTGGGATGAAATCAGTGCAAAATTTGGTGGGAAGCGGACCGCTGCGGCTTGTCGATTATACTATCAACGCCGCCGCGGCTTATTCGGAAAGCCTCCGTGGAAACCGGCAGAAGATACATTGCTATATGAATCGGTCACACAAGGGAAGTCCTGGGATCGCGTTAGTGAAGCATTTGGTGGGAAGCGGACCCGTGCTGGCTGTCAACGACGCTGGTCGCGCTTGCAACAACTCAGCAAGTTAGACAAGGATGGCTTCCCCGAAATGCCGCTGGGAGGCAGCCTCTAGGCACCAAGAGATTCACGGGCCAAGTTCCCTCGCTCCAAACTTTACTGCTATCGATAGTCCGACATATGGGATTCGAGACGAAGCGCCGCCACTTCTCTGAGCGCTGGTGGGGTTGATTCAATCTTTCCAGGTTTTTCAAGTGGAATCCGCGAGTAGGAGCTATCTCTCTCAACTCACTTTCCCAGCCGTATGCAGGTTGCTTGGTGGAATACACTGGAAATCTCATGGGCTTTTACATTAGAAGTTCTATATACTTTCCTTAGTATTTAAAGCGAAGACTTCTGACAAAATATAATAATTGGTTTGATAAGCATCTTATTAGCTGCTGCTCTTCAAGTCCTCCATAGTGTATGAGAGAATCCAAGGTTCCAGGGGATCCGATTCAGGGTCTAAGGGAAGATTTTAACGGAGTCTTTTTAAGTAATCATAGAGTAGTAAGAGGTTCCCGAAACCTGAACATGCACCGGATAGCCGTATGACCAATTGCGCACCCTGGAGCTTTGAATGCGTGGCAACTAGTTGTACTCACCACAACTCATTAGGCTTGGCAGCAACTCATGGGACAACTTGCCAGACCTCGTGACAACTTGCAAGGCTTGGCAGAAACTCAACAGGTTTCGTGACAACTTGTCTATCTTCCTGACAACATCTTCTGCCTCATCTTTCCCAGCGCCAAGCATCTATATCTACAGCTCCAAAAACTGGATGGATGCCTTTAAACACAATGCGACCATCACCCATACCGACCACATCACCGACCACATCATCGGCCGCAGTTTCGACCGTCGCCTCATCAACTGCCTCCTCGATTGCGTCCAGTCCAGCCACATCGCCGACAACAACTCTTTCGAGTGTGTCCTGCCCGACCGCATCGCCAAGCATATCTCATCGGCTGCCGTGATTACGTCTCACCCAACCGAACCGAACCGCCGACCGCATCGCTGACCGCCGCTTTATCAACTGCCTGCTCGATTGCGTCCTGCCCAACCGCATCGTTCTCGACTGCGCTCCCGGCGTCATTGCTACTGGCTTGGCCACCAAAAGAAGGGAACAAACTGGAGTGAGGCCCATCGGAGGAACCGGAAGCGAAAGGAAGGAAGTATTAAAATCCGCAAATAGGGATCATATAATCCTGGGAGCTCTCCTTTGAGTGACGGTTACCTGATCTCGATTGGCCCGTAGTTGACCGACCACTTGATTTCGAACGAGCTCTTCGCGCCATAGGGTTTGGATACTATAGATGTTAGACAGACTCGGCCCATTAGCAAAGACACATTACCCTAGTCATATCACGGAGATCAGGGTTTCCAAGTCGAGATAGGCGTTTCAGACGAGCAACTTCATCCAAAGAGGACCTGCGGGGTTGAAACTGGACTGTGTGGGTGGGAGGAGTACTAGAATCTGAGATTTGTCCATTCAGTTCAACCAGTGCGCGCTTGGTGAGCTTAACCTCCGAGAGACGATCCCAAAACGCGGGCCGATGGTAAGTTTTGGATCTGGTGTCTGTTCTCGAGCGTTTCTGTGGTTGTAAAAGCCAGTCTTTCTCTGCAAACAAGTCTTCCGTGTGAGTCCGTTTGTCTCCAGGGCGCGGGTTGGGTCGGTCGGATACGTGCATAAGCCCGAGACGAGGAAGCCACTGCAAGCCCGAGCTGCGATGAAGATGGACTCTCAAGATAACAGAAGTCTATTATGATTGGAGAAGAAATCGGGCGCCAACTGTCAAGAACGCAGACGATTCTCAAATTTCGCGAGAGGTCGTGTTTGGGCCGCCGCAAGCAGGTCTCGTGATCTGACCTGTTTGGATCTGACTAGCCAAAAGTGGCATTCGCAACATGAATCACGCGTCAATAACTGCAAACACAACAAATAGCTCAGCGAAATCCATTCTAGCGATCGCTAGCGTCACGAAATACCCTACCCCGATCCACCTCAGTTGTATCAGCATGAACCGGTCTGTCCACCCCATTTAGTTCACGGACAAGATCCATGGGGCAATTTGATGGACCCGCAGAACCGCTCTATGAGTCCTGTGGCGCTGTGATCCCGCAAGGTGCGTTGGCTGGATATAGGAGATTTCTGCTCCTCCATGCGTTTCGTACTTGGTCTTGTCGCGTGATTAGTGAGGTTTCTGGATCAAACTAAAAGAGATGTCAAATCGGGTTCTAAAGGATTACTAACTTTTCCAGACGTTAATGGAGTGTAGACAGCTCTACCTGGGTAATGATAACATTCCGCGCTGTCATAGATCGCAAACTGGTCATCGTTTCCGTTAATTTCTCACGCTCATGGGATGTTTTGTTGCGCATGGCTGTGAATGTCAAGAGCCCTTGCTCTTCTATATGATGCCCAGAGGCCAAGGCAAATTTTATTCTGCATAAAGGACTTGGTTTCGTAGGAATTAGCCAGTCTGTTGACAAAATGGTGGCACTTCGGAACAGGGAAGGGAAACTATTGTAGACTCCGAGCAATGAAACGTGCCAGTTTAGCCAAACAGCCATTCCCACTGAGGAGAGAGGAGCGGAGCGAAGACATCCTCAGCATGTTGATAGAGTGCAGAAAGTTTTGCAGACGTGTAATCGCAGTTAGGACATCTGTAAGACCATTGTTCACCCTCGAAAGTGGTATCTATATACTTCCCACTCTGGTAACATTGGCGTGCTAGATCATCGATCTCCTCTTCGGTAACCTCTGACAGACAGTTCCCGGATTCTAGATGGATTAAAATCCCGGAGATTGTTTTGAAGCACCGATAACAACCGTAGCATTCCACGTTTCGAGGTTGATGCTTCTGTTGGTGCTAATGTGAGAGTACTATTAGCCGAACCATTTATGCTTTTATTGACAATGGTTGATTTGGAATCTCACCATTTGTAAATCATTCTTGTTTCCAAAGTAATCACCACATGTAATGCAGAGGTGGTGTTGAGCAACATCGTGTTCTTGAAGATTCTTGAAAGTGTTATAATAACGCTTGCAATCTGGACAAAAGTAATGAGACTCCTCCAAGTGATTTTGAAGCTCTAGAGAACTCTCAAAATCCTGTGTGCCGGGACACTTCGGACAGAGATAATGCTTGTTGGAATGTTGTAGATGAGAATTTCTGGCTTGGGTCGAAACGAACACCCGGCAGCACCTTGCGCACCACGAATGTCGCGATGTACTTTTGCAATGTGCATACAGAGCCGCTTTAGAACTGAAAATCCTTTCGCGAATAGTACATTCATAATTCGCGCCATCAAAGGCAAGATACGGGCCTAGGTCCATAACTGATTCTGATGACTCTGGCTGCAAATAGCACCACCAAGTGAGGAAGTCAGGTTCCAGCCGTTGATGGAGGTGTCCGACGTTGCCCCGCCCTCCAAATAGCACCTGATGGATGTTGGGCATCAGCAATTTTAGCGCCGCAGTAGTATACAGTAGGATCTTATTGGCCTGATATCAGGTGATTTGAGCGGGACTGGGTTTTATTATTATTATTATTTTTTTTTTTTTTAAAATAGTGAGAGAATTGATGCGTGGTGAATTGGGTCTCTAGCCTCCTGAATTCTGGTTTTAGTCTCATATGCTTGAGATTGAAAGGTTGATCAGGTACATGGTAGGGAGTTGGCACTAGGTCTGATAGAAGCAGTGAACAAGCAAGAGATTCTCCTATAGTGCTGTAGATGAATGTACACGCGACCTGATCTGGGAAACATCGGCGTCCGATTCCTGTTAATAGAGACAGATGGCAAGGTTGCAGCTGAGAAGTAGGTTATAGATCGTGTTATGTACCCTTGTCACATGAAACTGAAGCGTGAATTCTTTAAAGTATTTCGGAACTGGGACATGGTTTTCGTCCATACACAACTGTGACTGGCTGGTAGAGGTGGCGCTGCTCATCTCTTATAGTAGAACGTATCCGCTCTATAAAATTCTGGACCGCATCGTAGGGCCATGCCATGGTCGACGTCAAATGGCGAAGAAATATGTCTTCGATCGCCTGGAGAAGCCGAAGTTGATTTAGTCGGCCTAACTCGCGCAATCGAGGATCTGTGTTCCATCTATGTGGCCAGCATTAGTTACGGCTTATGAAGATAAATCAGCTGGTGACGCACCCGCTAATAGGCCATTTGTAAGATCTTTTGGTAATATCTTGGAAGCCACTACCCTCCAGCACCTGTGTGCTTTCACGCCAGATCGAGAAACTCCTGCCAGATACCTGCTCAACCTGCGCCATTGTCTGCTCCCATAATGCGTAGATAGGTCCCAGGCTGGTATCATCGTCCCATATGGGCGTAACCGAATGCTCAACAACTTCTATGTAGCCACCTGGTCGTAGAGAGGCCCAACATTGCCGGAGAAACGCATCCCAATCAGGTATCGAGCCGAACATCTCGCGGACGTAGATCAAGTCAAATTGTTCCGCATCATTCTTGGTTTTCGTCAGCTGGATCATCACTTGTTTCCGAACATGTTTTCTCCGATTCCTCTTGGTGGGGTGCGACTTCGCTCGGTGGGGAGTGCAATTCAGCAACCTGCGAGGGCTGCAGGTGTTTCTGGGCTTGGCTCGGTCTCGTCAGCGCCTCGCGGAGCAAATCCAACCGGGACGGGGGTGATGTCTGTGCAGCCATGTTGTGGGCAGGAGGCATTGTAGATGTATAGTTTTACTTCGCGGCGTTCAAGGATCGATAATTTCTCGACTCGCAGTGGTGCATTTAAGGCTGACTGTTGTAGGTATCATGGAAGAAGGTACAGTATGGGAGAGAACGGAGTCGGCTCCGCGACTTTGGAAGTTGGTTCAGAATTAAGCCCGTCCATGTTGGTCGGTCTGCCTCGGAAAGGAGCCAAGGAGGGCAAGGAATTGGTTTCGGGACAAGATTATTTGTTTGGGAATAGCGATACTCCACGGGCAAGGAAGAGGGACTCAGCATAGAGTTAAAACAACAATGGGCATTACAGCACAATGCACAATGCACAATGCCCTACGGCCCTAGTCACCTTGCCTTGTGATAAATCTTGCCCTTCCTTGCACTGGTGAAGTAAAGTCCCCGGTTAGCTGAGCGGGTGAACTTGTTAGTGATCTAGCAGATCTTCGGTGGTTGACTAAACTTTGGGAATGTAATGGAGACCGGTCAAGGCGGCCTTTTGTGGGGCGGACTGGTCATTGACTCGTGAGTTTTAGTATCTGATAACTTCGGCGGGGTTCCGCGCCTGGTTATCGCCGTCACGAACCTCTGCCAGTAGACATGATGAAATCATCCTGGCATCTGATCAGAGCTTGTAAGTCCATTTACAGGCCTAAGCGTGTATATGTAAATCAATAGGACCTCGCTCATCTACCAATTCAATGCCTCCGTCATTATTTGGCTGTCCTCTCTTCCCCATCTGTCCTACTGTCGCAACTCCACGTTTTGGTATCTCACAATGGGCAAAAGAGTCTATCGCGAGCGGACGCCCACCGAGGAGGCTTGGCTCCCACACTGGATCGTCCGAATGGTCGTGGGACATGAGGGCCAAAGAGTATTCAGAGACCATCCGCCCAAGAACCGCGGAATCCTTACGGTCTAAACTTCGTCAGTTGAGAAAGAATATCAGAAGGCGTCGTCCCGTGCCTAGGAGGAAGGCGAGGACAACACAAGGCATGACGGCGAAGCAGGCTCGCAAAGAGCAACAAAGAGCACGAGACATGCCTCCTCCGGTGACCACTAGGGCACCGGCTCATCGGACGCATACCAATTTCCATGATATAAAGGCGGGACTTGAGCAGGTGAAAAGCGGAGGACAGGCGGTTCCAACCGCTGAGATTCCGAGATCGCCGCCCACAACCCAGGTGGGCATGAAGAGTCCTGTCCGTAGTAGGGCTCTTGCGCGCCCAGACCAAGGTAAGATGAATACTCTCCAGGCAGCTACGGTCAGTACACTGACTTTACAGGCCTTTCAGACTCTAAATCTTCCAGTCTGTCGCAGCCACCGGTTCGCGGGCCATCCCGGGCCATGGACCTGGTCTGGCAACTCGTCTATCAGTTTGCAGGCCGTACAAGGCCGCG